TCCACATTGCAACAGTCCATGGGCGCACCAACTGAGCTGGACCCGTTCCTTGCGGGCATGCTCACACTGCAACTTTCCTGGACACATTCGACCACAATTTTGCGACCGGATGCTGGATCCATCCGACCAACAATTACGTGCAGAGCGGAGTAGAAAACGTCTTAGTGTGGGTATGGTCTCAGTGTACAAAGGCCCGTTGTCTGAGGGCATCCTCAAACTAGGACTTTCCTGGACGTATCTGACTGCAATTTTGGACTGGATGCTGGATCCATCTGGGCAACATTTATGGGCAGAGCGGAGTAGACAAAGTCTTAAAGTGAGCATGCCCTGAGTGTACAAAGGCCCTTTGGTTGAGGGCATCCTCACACTGGGACTTTTCTGGACGTATCTGACCACAGTCGCGACCGGATGCTCGATGTACCCAACCAACAATTATCTGCAGAGAGGAGTAGAAAAACTCTTTAGCGTGAGTATGCTCCGAGTGTACAACTCAGTCAAATGCGCTTGGCTTTTTTTTTGTGTGTCCCCTTTTTCTTAGCATCATCCGTACCACCCGGCCCACATAGCATCGCACAGCTACCCCGCACCATGCCGGGCCCATGCGCCGGCTGCCCACAAACTGCCATCCAGTCAACATGTCTCTCCCCATGCAATACCACCCAACCCACATTGCATCACCCACCCAACCCACATAGTATCATCCACCCAGCCCACGTAGTACCACCCTGTCCACATAGCACCACCCAGTCCACAGAGTACCTCCAAGTCCAAATAGTATAAGCCAACATGCCTCACCATGCAATACCACCCGGATAGTATCACCCACCCAACCCACATACTATCATCCACCCAGCTCACATAGAACCCTGCCCACATAGTACCACCCAGTCCACAGAGTACCACCCACTTCAAATAGTATGAGCCATACAGTGCCAGCCAACCCACTGAGTATCACCCACCTCACAAAATACCACCCTGCCCAACCCACATTGTATCACCCACCAGCCCCCATAGTACCACCCAGTCCACCCACCAGCCCCATAGTACCACCCAGTCCACATAGTATGAGCCACCCCACACAGTGCCAGCCAACCCACTTTAGCATCACCCACGTCACATAATACCACCTTGCCCAGAGAGTACCACCCAGTTCGCTTCATATGATTAGCTCCCCATAGTACCGCCCAACCCACCCCACGTAGTACTGCCCCCTCCACATGGTATGACCCACCCCACATAGTACGATCCAACCTGCCTAAGTGTCACTCGGGCCACACAATACCTCTCAGCCGGCAGAGTACTGCCTGGCTTTGACAAGGGCCGAATTGAGCCTATGATGCTGGCCGTGTATCTTTTCTTTTCTTTCCGTGGCCGCACAAGTTCCCTCTGTTTGTTTGTTTTTAACAGGTGTGCGTTGCTAGTCCACATAGCATGCCCCACTCTACATGTGCCGCCCGGTCCAATGGTACCATCCAACCCAAGTACCATTGTGCAGGCCCTATAATACACACCCCAGCCCACATGGCACCATAGCTGTGCCAACGGCGGGGGTATGCCTGAGTGTGTGCTTTCTCTTTTGTGGCTGTGCGTGTTCTGAATTTTGAGCCACATCAGATCCTATTCCACACAGATGACCAGATCCAAAATCGAAGCAGCTTTAGTCCTATCGCGGATGAGACAATCCGACAATGAAACAGTTTCACCTCCATCGCAAGCAGCACGAAGCATAATAGAAGTGTTTCACTCTGTGTGTGTGTGTGTGTGTGTGTGTGTGTGTGTGTGTGTGTGTGTGTGTGTGTGTGGTTGGCTTTTCCATGGCTCTGTTGGTACCGTCCAGTCCACATCATATGACCCCCCTGCACAGCACCACCCAGCCCACATAGCATCATCGCCTGTGCCACACGATACCACCCTGTCCAGAGAAGGAGGTTGTCGAGGAGGAGGGGGATGGGGAAGTGGGGACAGAGATAAGGTGGCAGAGAACAGGAACTAGGTGGAGAAGGGGGTGGCAGAGGAATGCGGGGCGAGGAGGAGCAGCAGGAGGTGTGTGCCACGCGCGTAGCCGCTGCGGGCATCCGCTTGTTTTTTTCAATGCGATCCGTCTCCATGAAACTCCGGTGTGCGAACGACTTTCCTCTCGAAGTGTGTGGCTTGGACCTTCTCTTTAGATAGCAGTTGCTTTCATTTTTTCCTCCACCACAAAATCTCCCTAAGAAACAGCGCTCGCTCATGCACAGCTGATGGCACACACTTGGAGCCCCAAGAGCCATGTTACACTTTCAATAGAACAGAGAGTTTTGCCTCCAACATATAATTTTGCTAATGACGGCACTGCAATAAATGGCAGTATCCCAGTGGGACTGTACACTAACTGTGTTTGCTGCTTCCTCGGTTTGGGCCTTGCGGGACTTGATCCCGTGACCTGCAATTTGTATGTTTAGTTTGTTAGCTTCGAGCCCTACTGGGCTTGATCCTTGGACCTGTAGCTAGTAGCCTCTATTTGGCAGTCGTAGACCCTTAGTCTTTCGCTGTTTTGTCGGTTTCTGCAGTCGCTGAAGTCACCCCAGGACTTGATCCCATGACCTGTAGTGTGTTTGTGGTGTTTCGACTGTTCCTAGCCTTATTAAGCGTGAACCTTGCGCCTATTGCTAGTAGTCTCTACTTCGTAGTCTTAGGCCTTTCAGCCTTGTTGTTTGTTTTGTCCTTTTCCGCCCTTCTGGAAACTGGTAGGCCCGTAGGTCTTTCTTTTGTGTGTCCTAGCCTTGGGTCCCCCTTAGTCTAGGTTTCAGCCTAGATGCATGCAGGTAAGATCTTGACAGTTTCGCTGTAGATGTTTGTTGTTTGGACAGTCAGATACGTCTGTAGGTGGCTGCTGTGATGTAGGTCTAGGAAAGTCAGGTAGAAGTAGGCAGAGGCCGAGGAATACGGGGTTCTTTTCGTTGCTTTTCTTTTCAGTCTTGGTGGAGGTCGCGTTGGTTCCCTGTCGTGTTATTGTGGGCATGTACGCAGGGCACCTTCTCCACATGCTGCTGGCGGCCATAGCTGGGACTGGCCAGCTCAATCGGTGACAGCATTGGGCTCGGAACCCAAGTGCTGATGAGCGCGCTTCCTCATATTTGTGTGCTTGTTGGGGTTTGGTCAGCTGCCACCGAAGTTCCTGGGAGCCGCACTCCCCTCTTGAGTGGACAAGTTGGGTTTAGGGTTCCCCGATTTGTCACAAAAACCTAAAGCTGCCAGGCGGTGAATCACTTTCCGCATATCAACGAGTAAAGTGACGTTGAACGCGTACGATTCGACTTTTCCCGTTAAATGTTTGTCGATATTCGAAGGCCACGAAGTGGGAGAGCCTGAAGGAGCTGATAAGAAACCCGGCCCGTGGGAGCCTTCATCTGCAGTGGGCTTCTTGAGTGGTGAAGAGAAGAGTGTTAGATTTAGGAGGGTGTGTGGCGATTGGTAGCGACGGAATGCTCTGCAATCTTTCACCATTTGGATTTCCAGATATTTCAACAACTTTGTCCATGGGTCTTTTGTAGACACCCTACCTGGGGTCGACAAAGAATCAAGCATTTGATAGGTTGGGTGCTTGCAAACACCATAGCTAGAGCTTGCGGAAGAGGCAGGAAGAAGAAGACTCCCGGATACTTCGATGAAATCGTCTTGTAACTAATTGGTCCGTGGGTGTTGATAACGTGGTTGGGGTTTACTTGGAAATTTTCGTGCTGTTGATCGACTTGGGGAGAAACAGTAATTAGAATAGATTTTCATTTCAATTCTATTTTGGTATATTTGTGTGCTTCCACTGTGTATTCTTATCATCCGGTGTGGTGTGGATTGCTCCCTCCAAAGGTCACTTGTCATTGCACATGTGTATGGGAACGTGGGGATGCCATGTTGGATCTTGTTTCAATCAGGCACATAACAGCACATGCTTGAAGCCCCATGAGCCTCGGTACACTGACAATAGAACAGAGACACAGAAACTGCAGCAAATCCGTGCTTCTTGTTCAAGCACAGCTCCATGCATCTGTTTCCACCTCCTCGCTGTAATTAATCGGCCGCTGCCTTCGTGACCAAACACCCACAGGAGGGTGCAAGCTTTTTTTTTCTTTTTTCATGTCTCACTTGGTTCCTTCACCATTCTCATTTCGCCTTTCGTCGCACATGCGCAACTGCGTGTGCGCACGAGAACGAGAGAGAGACGAACGTGCAAAATGGCAATGAATGTTCCCAACTTTTGAGGAAGATTCATTCTCATTTTGCATTTCATCGCGCGCGCAAGAGAGAGAGAGAGAGAGAGAGAGAGAGAGAGAGAGAGAGAGAGAGAGAGAGAGAGAGAGAGAGAGAGAGAGAGAGAGA